TTTTCTATATATATTAGTTGGCCAATTAGTTTCTTTCTATTTATAGTAGAGACGGGGTCTCGCTCTTGCTCAGGCTGGTTTCGAACTCCCGACCTCGAGCAATCCGCCCGCCTCGGCCTCCCAGAGAGCTAGGATTACAGGCATGAGCCACCGCGCCCGGCCTGCCTAGCTGTTTAACATCAGTCAAGTTACTTAACCTCTCTCTGTGTCAATTTCTTTATCTGCACTAAATGGAGACAGCAATAGTAGCTTTCCCATAGGTTATGCTACAAAGTGCTGCCTAGTATTATTTATTTTGTTTTATTTTTATTTCAGTATATTTAAGGGGTACAAGTGCAGTTTTGCTACATGAATATATTGTATAGCAGTGAGATCTAGGCTTTTAGTGTACCCATCACTCAAAAAGTGTACCTTGTACCCAAAAGGTAATTTTTCATCCCTCACTTCCTCCCATTTGGAGTATCCAGTGTCCATAATTCCATTTTGTATGACAATGTGTACCCATAGTTTAGCTCTCACTTTTTTTTTTTTTTTTTTTGAGATATAGTCTCGCTTTGTTGCCCAGGCTAGAGTGAGTGCCATGGCATCAGCCTAGCTCACAGCAACCTCAATCTCCTGGGTTCAAGCAATCCTCCTGCCTCAGCCTCCCATGTAGCTGGGACTACAGGCATGCGCCACCATGCCCGGCTCATTTTTTCTATATATATATTAGTTGGCCAATTAATTTCTTTCTATTTATCGTAGAGACGGGGTCTCGCTCTTGCTCAGGCTGGTTTCGAACTCCTGACCTCGAGCAATCCGCCCGTCTCGGCCTCCCAGAGTGCTGGGATTACAGGCGTGAGCCACCGTGCCCGGCCTAGCTCTCACTTTTAAGTGAGACCATGTGGTACTTTATTTTCCATTCCTGAGTTACTTCACTTAAAATAATGGCCTCCAGTTCCATCCAAGTTGATGCGGAAGACATTATTTCCTTCTTTTTTATGGTTAAGTTATATTCCATGATGTGTGTGTGTATGTGTATATTATATGTATGTGTGTGTGTATCTCACATTTTCTTTATCCGCTTATCACTTGCTGGACACTTAGGTTGGTTCTATACCTTTGCTATTGTAAATTGTGCTTCAACAAACATACAGGTGCAGCTATCGTTTTCATATCAATGCTTTCTTTTCCTTTGGATAGATACCCAGTAGTGGGATTGCTGGATCAAATGGTAGATCTACTTTTAGTTTCTTGAGGATCTTCACACCATTTTCCAAAGAGGTTGTACTAATTTACAGCCCCACCAACAGTGTATAAACATTTCCTTTTCACCACATCTGTGCCAACATCGATTGTTTTTTGACTTTTTAATAATGGCCATTCTGATAGGGGTAAGGTGGTATCTCATTGTGGTTTTATGCCTCGTATTATTGTCCACTTAATCATTCAGTGTATTTTAAAGATCTTAATTTTACTCTGGAATGATTTGTTCAAATATTCCTTTCTACCAGGAAACACATAGATCATATTAAACTTCTTTTGTAAGCATGTAAGAGCCCACCAAGGTCTCTCGCCCCTTCCCCGGGCCAGTTCATGAGCTTTCATTTATTTCTGCCTTCATGGCATTTCTTCATAGCTCTCCTTACCTAGACAAAGAGTTGGCAAATTACAGCCAGGAGTCAAAATCTAACCCAAGGCTTAGTTTTGTAAATAAAGTTTTTTTTTTTTTTTTTTTTGAGACAGAGTCTCGCTTGTTGCCCAGGCTAGAGTGAGTGCCATGGCGTCAGCCTAGCTCACAGCAACCTCAAACTCCTGGGCTCAAGCAATCCTGCTGGAGAGAGATTATTCTGAGAAGTTTAATGATAAATATTCAAGTATTAGTTCTGAAACATCTTGTACCTTTATTTTTACATTCAGAATCATCTAGATTGATACTTAAGGTCTTGATTTCATGATAGAATAAATTCGTTACTAGACTTCAGTAGAATTCCGAATGCCTTCATAGAAGAGCTCAGGAAAGGCAATCTGATTGGAATGGGGAGTCTTGAGGTTGCATTTTCATAGTGCTTACATGATTTTTGAGAACATCAATTGTCCATTTTAAAAGAAACAGGAGGAGAGGTGCCAATGAGATTTATATCAAGCCAAAGCCTCTCTCTACCCCTAAATTCTCTCCCACTGCTAGGTACATTCACTAAGGGTGAAGATTGCCTTGTCTTAGACTTATTTTGATTTAACTGTATTGGCACACCCTGATTTCACTTCTTAATTCTAGAAGTGAAGTTTATTCTTAATAACAGGTTATAGGCCGGGCGCGGTGGCTCACGCCTGTAATCCTAGCACTCTGGGAGGCCGAGGCGGGCGGATTGCTCGAGGTCAGGAGTTCGAAACCAGCCTGAGCAAGAGTGAGACCCGTCTCTACTATAAATAGAAAGAAATTAATTGGTCAACTAATATAATAGA